CCTGTTATAGGCAATATAGTATGCGCTGCTGCAGATGTTGTCGTCATCGTTATTATATTTGTTATTGTACGGCATAATAATTTAGAAAATGTTTTATATAAAATATTATAAATAATTTCAAGCATGTTTTGCGGTAATGACGGTCTCGTCTGGTAATAGTAGAAAAACTATAACGAAACATACACATACACACACACACACACACAGAGACAATTAAAACATTAAACATACCAATAGTATGTGTAATCACGACGTTTAAATTACCTATAAAATTCTAAAAATATTGCATTAATTTTGCATTTTTTTTTTTTTTTTTTTTTTTTTTTTTGTTAATTGTTTTGCAAGCTTTTATAACCGCAATCTTTGTGGTTTCAATGATGGCAGTGCCCTGCTCACTTTTGATCCGGCCTTCAATACACTCTACGTTCCAATTAACTGAAACTCGTTATTCGAAATTTTTAAAGCTTAAATTGCTTATGAAAGGAACAACACATATGGGCGAGAAAAATTCTAAAAAGATAGCTTCCACAAAGCCCTAACAATGGCTCAGTGACACGGACAGTCAAATAGGTTCGGCCTCATTAAAATTGTAAAAAGTGAAAAATTGTTTTGCAATGTAATAATAAATCGTATCTCTTGAGATTGGAAATAAAATACGAATTAATTTTTATATAGAACAAGATTAAATGGATGGAAATTGATGAGCGCATCGTTATTGTGAAGAAGAAATCCGGCCGCATTTCTAGATCTACCACAAAACTTCATCATGAATGCTTTAAAGTTTTTAACTACCGCCTACCAACATAAAACAAAATACACCTATAAAGTAGAGGTAAAGAACACGCTTAACTTAGTATAACCCCAGACTCGATAGTAGGTGTAGAGAAAACACCAAAAAATACATAACGCATACAATGTCTGAAAATTTTCATGCAATTTTTGTTGATTAAATAATTCATGCAATTTATGTAATATTGGGGCTGCCCTGCATTTTAAGTTGGCCAAAGGATACCTAATTGTTTTCTAATTGATCGCTTCGAAAGTTTGCGTGTAGGCTTACTTTCTAACTTTTTCGTTTTTTAAAGACTGCAAAATACATCTTTGGCCCCAATGCTCACAAATGTTCACAAATGCTCTTATAGAAAAAAGTCTGGAGAGATCAGTTCCTTCCAATCGATGGTCTATTCTTTTCATTTCTCTTTATGTTTAACTTAACTCAACGGTATGCGATATACATCTGCTGGGAACATTTACGTTGACTAAGAACATGATCCGACAATAACTATTCCCGGATAGGCTACTATGAACGTGTGTAGAGAACTTATGACGACATTGTAATTCATCGGGAATATGTGTACTACTTAGTGTCATTAGAAAAATAAAAGAACAAATTGTAGAATTTCACTCTTTGCACCCTTTGGCTGTTATTATAACGAAACGTAACAAAATAATTATTAAAATTACGCATGAATTGCTTTACATTTTTCAACAGCTCCGCTCAAGGCAGTAAGGGTAAGGATGCTTTAAATAAAATTATACAATAAATAAATGCATCACTAACGCAGTTATAATAATATTATGACGCATTCTCAACTTTCACGCACTCTACTCCAATTTTATTTTATAGATTATCTTACGTAAGAAATCCTGCCTTGTATTTATATGCTACATGGTACATGGTAATGACATCCTCTACTTGAAACAGTAAACGTCCGAACGCTTTGTCCTTCGCAGTTCTGTTTCCAATTTTTTAAAGAACCTTTTCCCATAACCTGCGCTTTTTTCATATCACTACCACGAGTTTGAGTGGTATGCCGACTGTCGAATTTTGCTTTGGCACCTTTTGCTCAGCTCTCTCAACCGCACTTCAATTTAATGCCTAGGTACCCAGCATATCTTAGATTGCTTCTCTTCTATTCCGTTCGCAAATGTTTCACTCATTAGCGGCTTCACAACTCAGAAATTTCCCATTAACTGTATTGTCGTTTCGTTTGTTTGGTTGCTATAGCACATAGATCAGTTTTCAGTATACATGTGGGGGGCATTCTATGTCTTTGGTATATTAAATTTGTTAAGGTTGTATGCAACACCCAGGAAGGACTTGAAATGAACCCAACTGTTATTATACCAATTAAAGTTTGTATGTCCGTTTCTCCATTTCGAAAGTATTCTAATGAAACTTGATACACTGAGGTGTTTTCGCCCATAAACGAACATTATTGAGAATGGTTTGCATCGACCCACTTTTTCGATCACTTACCATATAACGCCGTATTTCGACAAGTCGGTAAACGACGTATTAAACGACGATAAAGTGACGCAGGTTATTTAGTGGAGAGCGTTGGTCAACCATAAAGTAAACGAAAATCCTTGTTGTTGTTGTTGATACAAAAACAAAAAAAAATTCTCTTTTACGCGAAATACGTCGAAGTTGCTTCCTTACCTAACTTGCACAATAATAAATTTAAATCGCATATATTACGTAAAGTGAAAATTCAAGAATTTTCAAATTATATAAATATGTATATGTGATTTTATTTATTTACTTTTTTTAAATAAAGTTGAAAAAATTCTTTCTCTTTTTTTTTGAAACGTATTTGTTAAGGAAGTAATATTCAGAAATTACATTTCTCTTATTTGACTAAGCTAAGTGTGGAATTGACATTATGATTTTCTTTACTTTGATATATAGAGTGGCATTTGCAATAAGTAAATCCTCGCTGGTAACGCGATAGTCGTCCGTTTAGATGTACAATTCATTGCCATATTGTGTTTAATGAAAATATAAATATACGCCTTATTTATATATAACTAACTATATATATACATACATAAAATATATATATATAGTCGGTCAATAAGTACGAGGAATAAGTAACAACAGATATTATTATTACTTGCAAAATTCAAGTACATTAGCGAATTTTGTCTCCATCAGCTATGATATAATCAGTGCACCGCTGGTTCGGCATTTCGATCCGACCTTTCATAAAACGTTGGTTCAGAACCGTCAAAGTGGATTGCAATTTTCGTAATGAACTCACCATTTTATCGAAGCGTTTTCTCCTAAGCATCCTTTTGAGATTCGGAAAGTGATGACAGTCGCCAAATATCCGATCTGGAGATTACGGCGAATGTTACAGGAATTCGAGCTACGATTCACTCAATATTTTTATTGCAACCATCAAACTATCGAAGGTCCACCTGCTTTTTACCTCACCTTTGGGATCTTTCTGGCAATTTTATTCTTCATTCGAACAAATATTCGCTACTCGTTGCTTCTCTTTCTTCAATTTACTTGATGAATAGAACCTAATCCGCATCTGAACATTTTTACTTTTTCGATGGTTTTCACCGCATCCTTTCTACTCAACATCAATTCAATTTAGGAGTGTGGCGGCAGACCCACATTTCACCCACTTTCACATACCGAGTTTTATTGTTCCAAAAGAGCTTCGAATCAGTCGCATGTTGACATTTTTATCCCACTGTGCAGACGAACTTTCTCTTGCCCAAATTTTCTGCTTCTTCACTTTTCTAAAGCGTCAACTACCTTATATACAACTTCACATTTTCGTTATCGAGATTAATTTTCGAGATTTCTTTGATGTTTTCTAATGCAACCGCTGTGTACTACGTCATTTAAAATCAGCCAACCACCAAGAAATCTTACCTTTGACGGAGAAGAGTAGTGAATTTTTCCATCAAAAAACAATATTTAATCAATGAACAAATTTTCAATTCAAAAATGAACTGAAATTTTGATAGTCCTCGCTTTATCGTTGATATTCTCTGAAAATAATATGAATTTTTGTCAACGACGACATACGTATACGTAAATCCGTGTACTTATTGTCCGACATGGGATGTACATATATATAGTATATATATATCTCTATATTCTATGTATATCAGACGCAAGCACGAACACATTACGTATAAACGTCTCGTTGTTTTTCCGTTATATTATAAAATTTGGTGCCCGTGTTTCGTTTTTAGCGGAAGTATGCAACACACAAAATCATTCGATGTCAACAGAAAACAATTTATTCCTACATTCACAATTATAAACGCATACATATACATACCTCGTTCAACATAAAGCATCAAACGGTGCAAAGCTCCCGCGCACTGTCGTTCCTCTACACCAATAACTATTACAATTTCAATGTTTATGCACTTATAAAGAACGAACAATCTTACAAACTTATCTGCATGCATACTACTGTACATTCCACTAGTTATGTATGTTTTTAGGACAATATCAAAATGCGAATTTCTAGTCGGTTTAGTGGAGTGGGCTGCACGAGCAGCATATGCACACCACACCGTGAACATAACAGTATGGCATTTTCTTCTTCTAGTTTTATGTTGACATAGAAGTTCTTGGCAATCGTTGACTCACTCACTAACTGTCTAACTAAATACCCTAGAAAAGCTTCACCTCTACCGGTTAGTGTTGAACTGTCATTCACAAAAATAAAAATAAAAAAAAAATTAAAAAAAAAAAAAAAAATATGAGAAAAAAGCAAAAATTGTGGCATTGTTTGTTTTTACTGGTGTTTTTTGTTCCACTTTTCCTTGGCTCGTTTCTCATTTCATCATAAAATGGCAAACATCACGATTTTGGCGAGCATATGTTTATGTATGTGTTCTTGTGTATACCGTTTTTTTTTTTTCTTACTTGTGTAGGAACACAATGTAAATAAATCCTGTTATACATGGTCAGTGATGCGCGAAAATTGCATATGGATTTCATAGTCCATCCGTTATTAAAAACGGAAGCAGTAGTAACGAAACCCGGTTTTATTGTGGTGCACCTTCAAGTTCATTTGGAAACTCTTTTTCTAAAAATAAATAAATAAATAAATAAATAAATAAATGAATAAAATATATGAAGAAAAGATTTTCACCGCAATTATAATGAAATTAAATTTAAATTATCTTTCATGTTGAAAATAGTTGTGTTTTGTTAAAAAAAAGCTTTCCTCTCGTTTCAGATATAAAATCGAAGTAGCTGGTAAGAGTCTACCATCGTTAACGAATTTGGATAAGGGTCGTTACGGCGTCATAGTGTTCGAGAATCTTGACAAGTATTTGCATATGGATAAATGGAATCGTGAATTACTTGATAAATATTGTCGCGAGTATTCGGTGGGTGTTATTGGATTTGTTAGTCCCAGCGAAGAGACGTTAGTAGCTGCCCAACTACGAGGATTTCCTGTATTTGTCCATACAAATTTGCGGTTACGTGACGCCAGCTTAAATCCGGCTTCGCCGGTATTGCGTTTAACTCGGGCCGGCGAAACAGCTTGGGGTGCCTTGCCCGGCGATGATTGGGCCGTATTTCAACATAATCATTCAACTTATGAGCCCATAGAATGGGCTCAACGCAATTCGCAGGACTACCCTTCAGACAGTGGTGGTCAAGTGCATTTACCTTTAACGACCGTCCTTCAGGATCATGGTCAATTAGACGGTATTAAGCGTATACTTTTTGGTAGCAATTTGCATTTTTGGCTGCATCGACTACTCTTCCTTGATGCCTTGTCATATCTCAGCCATGGGCAACTAAGTTTGAGTTTGGAACGTATGATATTAGTTGATATTGATGATATTTTTGTAGGGGAGAAAGGAACCCGTCTACGACCTGATGATGTAAGAGCATTGATAGCTACTCAAAAAATTATTGCTTCGATGGTACCGGGTTTCCGATTCAATTTGGGCTTTTCGGGCAAATATCATCACCATGGAACGCATGAGGAAAATCTTGGCGATGATTTTCTGTTGCAAAATGTACACGAGTTCACTTGGTTTTCACATATGTGGAAACATCAACAGCCGCACTTGTACGATAATATTACATTATTGATATCGGAAATGCAATTAAACCACGCTTTTGCGGAAGATCACAACATTCCTACGACCTCGGGATATTCAATATCGCCTCACCATTCGGGTGTGTACCCGGCCCATGAGATATTGTACGAGGCTTGGCAAAAAGTTTGGAATATAAAAGTAACTTCCACCGAAGAATATCCACACTTAAGGCCGGCGCGACTTAGAAGGGGATTTATACACCGCAATATTATGGTTTTGCCACGACAAACCTGTGGCTTGTTCACTCACACAATGTACATTGATCGTTATCCCGGTGGCCGTGATAAATTAGACGAATCGATACAAGGCGGCGAATTATTCCAGACAATCGTCTATAATCCAATTAACATTTTTATGACGCACATGTCCAATTACGGATCGGATCGTTTGGCTCTTTACACCTTTCAGTCGGTCATCAAGTTCCTGCAGTGTTGGACTAACTTAAAATTAGCCTCAGCTCCGCCCATACAATTGGCCGAAATGTACTTTCGCCTGCATCCCGAAGAAGTTGACCCAGTCTGGGGTAATCCCTGCGACGATCCCAGGCATCGTAAAATCTGGTCAAAAAGCAAAAATTGTGATTCCTTACCAAAATTTTTGGTTATCGGACCGCAGAAAACAGGCACCACTGCTCTTTATACATTCCTTTCGATGCACTCCAGTATTGCTAGTAATGTACCCAGTCCTGACAGCTTTGAAGAAATACAATTTTTCAATGGTAAAAACTATTATCGTGGTTTGGATTGGTACATGGATTTTTTCCCAATGGACACAAATGCCAGCACAATACGTTACATGTTCGAGAAGAGCGCCACATATTTTGACGGCGAAACGGTACCAAAACGGGCACACGCCTTGTTACCACATGCAAAAATTGTAACCATTCTCATTTCGCCTGCTAAGCGGGCCTATTCCTGGTACCAACATCAACGCGCACACAGCGATGCGATTGCGAATAATTATAGCTTCTATCAGGTTCGTTTCCCTGCTCACACATTTTTACTAAATCATTGAAAATTAATTGACAAATTATAACATTTGGAATAGTGATGAAGCAAGTGCGCTTTTCATCTGTTTTGATTACGATAACGGCCTCTTTATATCTTCATATTAGCTAAGCAACTTATATACAAGAATTTTGAAAAATGATTCGTTAAAATTGTTATTGCTTTTATACTTAAAAGCCAATCATTAATAAATTTCCTCTCTTATCATCAGGGTATTTGAATCCTATTTGTGATGTCTGAACTGCCACTTATCCGCAAACTACCATCACAAGAGGTAATTATTAGGGATTTTCAATGTCAATGAGCGGAGACAGTGTTGCCTTAATTCAAACATAACGCAATGTACATAGGCACGTAGTCGTTATGGTAAATCTGGTAATCTATGGGATTTCTTTTTTATAAGAAACTTTATATATATATATAAACGACCGATTGACACCAACATTCCTAAAATGGGGAAATTGTCATTTTAATAGGATTGTTATCATTGTAGCTTGAGACATAAACATGAAGAAGAAAAAGAATTTTGAAGAAAGTTCTCGACATTATCTATAGAGAAGACTTATCCGCCTGAGTGGCCGAGTAGGTAAGAACGTCGACTTTCAACTCAATGGTCGTGGGTTCAAATCTCAAGTGCGGTAGAGTTTTTAATAAGGACATATAAGCCACAAATCTATTGGCTTAGTCCATCTCTGTTCAACAACCAAAAAAAAAAAAAAAAAAAAAAAAAATAGAGAAGACTTGATACTTAGGAATAATTTTGATAAAAAATTTTATGAATTTCATAGTAAAAAACATTTACACATTTTTACAGGTTATAACAGCAGCCGATACAGCACCTAAGGCACTCAGAGATTTACGTAATCGCTGCCTTAATCCTGGTAAATATGCACAATATCTGGAACGTTGGCTCTCTTATTATACCGCCCAACAATTGCACATCATTGATGGCGAGCAGTTGCGCCTGAATCCCGTCGATGTAATGAACGACTTACAACGTTTTTTGAAAATTCAACCGGCCTTCGATTATTCAAATCGTTTACGATATGATATTAAAAAAGGATTCTATTGTCAAATTGTCAACGAGAAACGTAACAAATGCTTAGGAAAATCAAAGGGACGCCAATATCCGCCCATGGATGAACGCAGTGCTAAACTATTACAAAGGTAAAAAAAAAGAGAAAAAAAAGAAAGAAAGAACAAAGAATAACAAAATCTGGCAAAGGAAAGCTTTGAAGCATCATTTTATACTTTTTTTTTTTATTTTCTAATCTTTTATCGATTCATCGGTTCATTTCACGCGTAATAAGACAATGAAAAAATGTATATTTTCTAGCTGGAATTGCAAATTTTAATCACTCATTGCCGACGTATATACGTTCCTTGTTCTTCTTCAACTTTTCGAGTAAAAGTGCGTAGCGAGTAGAGACAGAGTTTGACTAGCCTGGTTACCTGTACGTTGTAATCATGGCTATAATCTCAAAATTTTTACCTACGACACCAAACCTAATCTCATTGAACTCTTGTTGAACTCTTAAAGCTCTTAAAGCTTAATCGAATCATTGATTCATCAACAGTTGGCAAAAAACTGCCCGGATCGACATTTTAGCCTGAATATTAAAGCTTTTGCTTTATGTCTGTCAAGTGTGAAAATTGCCTAAATCAGAACTAAAGTTCATCGACAGTTACTGCATATAAGGCCAAGGCAAGTGTTTTGCAATTACCTGCAAAAGTTCCACTTTCCTTAGATCTAGACAAAAAAATTTAGTTTCTAAACCTTTACTGGCTTCTCCAAATCGAAACGTATTCCTTTCGAATGCGAGATATCTTAAAATACATCACTGATCGAATTGGGGTCAGAATTTTCACAAGCGTAGTCGTGCTGCGAATTAATGAAGAGAAAAAGAAGTGAGTTATTGAGATGGAGTTACTGGAAGCTTAAGACTTTTTTTTTTTTAGTTAGACTCTATTCTTCGTTTCATTTAAAGCGGTTTGGTTTTTTACCTAAAAAAAAAAAAACTATAACAGCCCTTGAAATGTTACCTACAAACTGTACAATCACCTGTGATTCAGTGAAAGATTGTATTATTTAATCTTTAGTCTGAATGCTTTGATATGATAATGTTGGCGGACACTTAAAAAAAAAAACTGTACATGCACCCAATACTTTCTGATCACAGTATACCCCCCACTGTATTTTTACTTTGTATTTTATTGCTGCATACATAAGACATTGTCAAAATGAGAAGTAAAATAAACA